TGACCAGGATGGTCTCGATCTCTTGACCTCGTGATCCACCTGCCTTGGCCTCCCAAAGTGCTGGGATTACAGGCGTGAGCCACCGCGCCCGGCATTGAGCAGTATTTTTGTGTCAACTAGGGTATCCTGTTACTCCAACTGATAAGAGATTAAGTCTTTTACTGTTCCTTTTATATAAATATGAGAATGAAGAATGAGAATAGCCTTACTGGGATTATCTAGTATACTATTGCCCAAACCTAACATAATTATCACTTGGCATACTTGTTAAAAGTAATAATAATTTGGCCGGGCGTGGTGGCTTATGCCTGTAATCCAAGCACTTTGGAGGCCAAGGCGGGCGGATCACCTGAGGGTCGGGAGTTCAAGATCAGCCTGACCAACATGGTGAAACCCCGTCTTTTTAAAAAAAAAAAAAAAAAAAAAGTAATAATAATTTCCTCTCTCAGAGACTCTTAACTCAATTGATTTGGGATGGTAACTGGTAACCTGCAGCAATAGTAAGAATCTCAGGTGATTCTTATGAAATGGTACCTTTGGAAAGCACTGTTCTAGTGGGAATATTGAAGGAAAAGGTTTCCATGCTTTCTCTTTATGGTTATGTAGTCTTTCTTTTTTCTTTTTTTTTGAGATGGAGTTTCACTCTTGCCACTCAGGCTGGAGTGCAATGGCACTATCTCAGCTCACTGCAACCTCCACCTACCGGGTTAAAGCGATTCTCCTGCCTCAGCCTCCTGAGTAGCTGGGATTACAGGCATTTCTTATCAGTTGGAGTAACAGGATACCCTAGTTGACACAAAAATACTGCTCAATATAAAAGAGAAGTAGATTTCCCCCTTCTCACCGCTGCACTTGAAGATTAAAAAAAAAAAAAAGTAAAAATAAATAAAAATAAAATACAAAATTACAGGCATGGCTAATTTTGTATTTTAAGTAGCGATGGGGTTTCTCCATGTTGGTTAGGCTGGTCTTGAACTCCTGACCTCAGGTGATCCACCCACCTCAGCCTCCCAAAGTGCTGAGATTACAGGCATGAGCCACCGCGCCCAGCCTGTTATGTAGTCTTCCTCAACTACCAAGGGTATCTGTAACTGCACTTTTCAGAAAGGACATTCATAGATCCAGTGTCCCAGCTTAATGAGAGGATCCTAGAAAACAAAGTGCCTTCAACCTGAAAAGCTGAGTGGGAAAAAAAGGAGAAAAGGAACAGAGCGTCATGGTAATATAGGAGAAGGAAAACTAAAATCAGTTCCAGGACATCAAAGAAGGCTTAATAATGAGATGCCATATGAATTGAGGAATAGAGTGGAGTAAATCCAATGATGATAAATTGAGTGGGAATATAATGGGGACAGTAGGATCCTAGAAGATGTTTGCTTTATTTGGCAAAGAAGTTATAACTTACATTTTGCACATTGGGCTTAGAGTAGCTTAGTGATTAAGAGCACAGACTTTGATATTAGACCTGGCTTTGTATTTCAGCTCTGCATCTTACCAGTTCTAGACAAGTTACTGAATCTTTCTAAACATCAGTATTCTTATGTATAAACTGGGGTTAATTATCTTATTTATCATGTGTTTGTTTTGAGGCTTAAAGGGTGTCATGTATGTAAAGCATAAAATAGAGCCAAGCAAATACTAAGTAGTCTTTCCTGGTGGGAGCATGAAGAGACTGGAGATCCAGGGTAGAGATGTAGCTTTATGGCATATAATCGGTAGTCAAAATAATCAGATGAGCCAAATACATTACAATTTCTAATTGTGGTGGTGTGATATCATCATTTTAGCACCTACTGACCATAGTTTGCTTAGGAAAGCAATAATAGGAGTTAACTTTTGTTATATTAGACATTTTCTCTACTGTTTAGTTGACGTGAAAACAGTGCTTTCTAATTTTTTTCCCCCATTAATTCAGAATGCTGTGTTGGTACTTTGTGGTCAGATGTTAAAAAATAATGTTTTCGGCCAGGCACGGTGGCTCACGCCTATAATCCTAGCATTTGGGAGGCCAAGGTGGGTGGATCACCTGAGGTCAGGAGTTCAAAGCCAGCCTGGCCATCATAGTGAAACCCCATCTTTAAAAAAAAAAATAAATAAAAATAATGTTTTCTGCCAATATTGTGTTCTACTTCCTGCTGTATTCTGGGAATCATCAAATTCATGGAGCCTAGATATTCTCTGAGTCTGCAAATATCTTCCTAAGTAGAGAATGTGTTGTTGGACTGGCAACAGCAGCTTTGGTTATTACCCATTGGATTCTAGTTGTGTTAGCATTGATGGCTGGTAGTTGCCCTTAGCTGTGTCTAGATCTAATAATTTCACTTATGAAAATTTATTTATTTATTTTATTTTTTCCAGTACATATTTCCAATACATATTTATTTTTTGACATGGAATTTTGCTTTTGTCGTCCACGCTGGAGTACAATGGCATGATCTCGGCTCACTGTAACCTCCACCTACCAGGTTCAAGTGATTTTCCTGCCTCAGCCTCCCGAGTAGCTGGGATTACAGGCATGTGCCACCATGCCTGGGTACTTTTTGTATTTTTAGTAGAGACGGGGTTTCACCATTTTGGCCAGGGTGGTCTCAAACTCCTGACCTCAGGTGATCCTCTCACCTTGCCTCCCAAAGTGCTGGGATTACAAGTGTGAGCCATTGTGCCTGGCTGAAAATTTATTTAAAAAAATAATTCAGCAAAGAAAAGATTAAAGCTCAGAACTTTTCAGGATATGTGACATTTTTACATTTTCAGTGTAAAAACTTGTAGCCAGCTTAAATGTCAATTAATACTCAAGCAAATGATGATATATCACGGTCCCTACAGAATAATGTGCTGTAAATAAAAATTATACTTATGACAGTAGTACACTATGGAAATTATTTTCTCTATGGTGAACAAATAAGACAACATACAGAATGATACCTAAAATGATTATAGCTATGTTATGTAAAATTGAAAAATAACTTTGTACGTATGAGTATATGTATGTGTGTTAGAAACCAGTGTTAAGGTATAAAAGAAGAAGTAAATCTGTTCAGTAGTGATGTGAAAGTTTGACTCTAAATAAGAAGGCTAAATTGGTTGCTCTTGTTTGAAGAAGGACTTTTAATCAGTGCTCGGGGGAAAAGGAAAAAATGTTGTGTGGCAGTATATTGACCTCTGTAAAGACATCAGGTGATGCTGGATGTGGTGGCTGACACTTATAATCCTAGCACTTTGGGAGGTCTAGGCGGGCAGATTGTTTGAGCCCAGGAGTACCAGACCAGCCTGAGCAACATGGTGAAACCCCATCTCTACAAAAAATACAAAATTTAGCTGGGTGTGGTGGTGCATGCCTGTAGTCCTAGCTACTTGGGAGGCTGACGTGGGAGGATCACTTGAACCCCCAGGAGGTGGAGGTTGCAGTGAGCTGAGATCATATCAATTTACTCCAGCCTGGGTAACAGAGCCAGACCCTGTCAAAACAAAAGCAAAAACAAAAACAAACAAAAAAACCCAAAAAGAAACTTCTTTTTTTAAGATGTCAGGTGAAAGCTAGAAGGGCAATGGTGAGTCTGTGTCTCACTGAGAATAAAATGTCTAAGCACTGGAAAAGGAGATCATAATAAGGTGAGAGGCAAATAATGATGTGCTATACCTTCTTTGTGCAAAGCTGTAGTAAGGAACACATGAAGCAGAGCTCAGGTGCTTCAGTCAGCTTTTCAGAATGTTCTAAAACATGCTTAATAAAAAACACCATGTCCACTAAGGAGAGAGGAAAACTTGAAGACATATTAAAAACATATAAGCCTCATTTTGCAAGAGTTATTTCCCACTCATAGGGAAAGCAAAAAGAGGTTCAAGAATCTCGATACACTGAAAGACCTTCGACCTTGTTTTGTTCTGCATATCACTCAGAAATCAAAGGAGAGCATCTTGAACATATTGGAAAGGAATAGGTCTGCTAATGGGAAGAAGAATTTGAAAATGTTATTGCTTCACCAAGTTAAAGGAAAGGAAAGCCTGATACAGGAGAAAAGGAAATTGTCCTAAATGCAATGTGGCATCCTGGATTGGATCCTGGAGCAGAGAAGGGCCATTAGTGGGAAAACTTGTGAAATTCAAATAATGTCTGGGATTTAATAGTAATGCACCAGTGTTAGTTTTGTAGTTTTGAGAAATGTAAATGTCAGATTTGATTAGATAATTAATATTAGGGGACAGTTTTTTTTTTTTTTTTTTGAGACAGAGTCTTATTCTTACCAGGCTAGAGTGCAGTGGCACTATCATGGCTCACTGTAGCCTCAGTTTCCCAGGTTCAGCTCATCCTCCCATCTCAGCCTCTGTGGTAGCTGGGACTATGGGTGCACGCCACCGTGCTCAGATTTTTTTCTTTTTGTAGAGACTGGATTTTTTCCATGTTGCCTAAGCTGGTGTTTTTTTTTTTAAAGGTAGTTTGGGCAGGGCATGGTGGCTCTCCTGTGTAATCCTAGCACTTTAGGAGGCTGAGGCAGGGCGGATCACCTGGGGTCAGGAGTTCAAGACCAGCCTGGCTAACATGGTGAAACCCTGTCTCTACTAAAAATACAAAAAATTAGCTGGGCATGGTGGCACATGCCTGTAGTCCCAGCTGCTCAGGAGACTGAGGCAGGAGAATCGTTCGAACCCAGGAGGTGGAGGTTACAGTGAGCTGAGAGCATGCCACTGCACTCCAGAATGGGTGACAGAATGAGACTGTCTCAAAAAAAAAAAAAAAGAACATGCTTTATGGAGTGATGCCTCTTTTTAAATCTTTAAATCTTTTTAAATCCTGTTAATGCTTATCTTTGTGACCTTTGAAGGCTTCCAGGAATAAGCCGATAGGTTGGGTCTGGAAGCCTGATAAGAGATTTAAAAAGTACAATAATATTCTTGAAAAGTATGGGTTCAGTATAATTGCCACAAATTTTGTTTTCTGAGCCACATTTGTTGACCAGTATAGGAGATGGTTAGTTTTTTGTGTGCCTTTGAATTATAGTAATGCTTTATAAGGGATTATTGTTTTTTTTTTTTTTTTTTTTTTTTTTTTTGAGACAGTCTTGCTCAGTGGTCCAGGCTGAGCATATAAGCCTCATTTTGCAAGACTTACTTCTAAATGGCGCGATCTCTAGTCATGGCAATCTCTGCTTTCCAGGTTCAAGCCATTAGGTCTAGTATCTCAGTCTCCCCAGCAGCTGGAATTACAGGCATGTGCCACCTAACCCAGCTAATTTTTTGTGTTTTTAGTAGAGACAAGGTTTCGCCATGTTGGTCAGGCTGGTCTTGAACTCCTGGCCTCAAGTGGTCTGCCTGCCTCGGCTTCCCAGAGTGCCGAGATTACAGCTGCCCAAACTGCATTTCTTTTAATAAGTTAAAAACTCTTTTGACCAAAGTTATCAGACTCATGGATAATATTCTTTGGGGTTAATAAGGTTCCAAATGTTCTAGTTACCAAGATTTAGCATTGGTGAAGTTGGAGAAGTATAGTGTTGGCTTTAAGTCACTGTTTATTTTGAACATCAATAATATTAAAACTGTAAAATATGTTTATTCGAATGTTTCTGTTTACTGTACAGGCTTACAGTGGAACACCTCTAACAGAAGAAAAGGAGAAAATAGTCTGGGTCAGATTTGAAAATGCAGATTTAAATGGTATGGTTTTAACTTCTTTGGGACATATGAATTAATTGTTTGTTTGGAGTTGACCTGATTCCCAAAAGAGAGCCTCTACTTTAGTCAGATTACTTTCTCTTATAGTAATTTTTCCATTTTCAAAATAAAGGTAGCATAACCACAGTACAGAAACTTTAGAACTAATACTGTGTAACAAGTTTTAAAGTAACTGTAACACAGTGTGTAAGTGTTAAACTTCAATCAAGTTAAAGTGAGTGAAAATTTTCTTGGGTTAAAAAAAAGTTTTCTTGGCCGGGCGCGGTGGCTCACACCTGTAATCCCAGCACTTTGGGAGGCCGAGGCGGGTGGATCACGAAGTCAAGAGATCGAGACCATCCTGGTCAACATGGTGAAACCCCGTCTCTACTAAAAATACAAAAAATCAGCTGGGCCTGGTGGCGCGTGCCTGTAATCCCAGCTACTCAGGAGGCTGAGGCAGGAGAATTGCCTGAACCCAGGAGGCGGAGGTTGCGGTGAGCCGAGATCGCGCCATTGCACTCCAGCCTGGGTAACAAGAGCGAAACTCCGACTCAAAAAAAAAAAAAAAAAAAAGTTTTCTTAAAAAAGGGGTTATTCAAGTTTGGTCAGTTGTATAGGATTTTTATTTTTATTTTTTTTAAGATGGGGTTTCACCATGATGGCCAGGCTGGTCTTGAACTCCTGACCTCAGGTGCTCCACCCACCTCGGCCTCCCAAAGTGCTAGGATTACAGGTGTGAGCCACTGTGCCTGGCAGAATTTTTATTTTTTAATGGAATTTTCGCTCTTGTTGCCTGGGCTGGAGTGCAATGGCATGATCTCGGCTCATTGCAACCTCTGCCTCCTGGGTTCAGACGATTCTCCTGCCTCAGCCCCCTGAGTTGCTGGGATTACAGGCATGCGCCACCACACCTGTCTAATTTTGTATTTTTAATAGAGAAATTAAAATACAAAACATGGGTTTCTCCATGTTGGTCAGGCTGGTCTTGAACTCCTGACCTCAGGTGATCTGCCTGCCTCAGCCTCCAGAAGTGCTGGGATTACAGGTGTGAGCCATCACGCCTGGCCTGTATAGGATTTATAACTGCAAAATAATCATTAGTGTTGAACTTTCTAGGCTTGAAAATTGTTATTATTATTCGAGATGGGGTGTAACTCGGTTGCCAGGCTGGAGTGCAGTGGTGCAATCTCGGCTCACTGTAACCTCTGCCTCCTGGGTTCAAGTGATTCTCCTGCCTCGGTCTCTCAAGTAGCTGGGACCATAGGCACACGCGACCCCGACTGGCTAATTTTTGTTTTTTTAGTTGTAACAGGGTTTTTTTTTTTTTTTTTTTCTTTTTTTTTTTTTTTTTTTTTTTTTTTCATTTTTATACCACTATACTAACGAGGAAAAGACAGGGTTTCACCATGTTAGCTAGGATGGTCTCGATCTCTTGCCCTTGTGATCCACCTGCCTCTGCCTCCCAAAGTGCTGGGATTACAGGTGTGAGCCACTGCACCTGGCAGAAAATTTTTTCTGAACAGAATTTTATGCTAGTCCAGGATCTGTTCTCAGATATATTCCGTTGCTCTTTCTTTTAAGGGGACTGCCTCTTGTGTGTTTCCCAGTCTACTTTGTTGTCTTCTGGCTGAGTTTGGGAGACACTGGTGAGAAATTGAATGTGAGGATGGGAGAAAGCAAAGAGTATTATTCCTCCTCCTTCTGTCAACAGCTGCATTTCCGCTATGGTTTTAGCTCCTCCTACACAACCCCATTGGCTTTCCAGTTTCTGCCAGGCGACCCACCATCCTGCACTCCTCTTTTGTCTCTTTAGCCTAGGTCATAATGACTTCTTGCTGTTGGTAATGGATAGGTTGCCTCACAATTCCTTATTTGGCATCTCAGCTCCTCCATCACCTGTGTAACCAGTTGTCTGTGTTAAATTCTCTATTTTAAACATGCTGAGTTGTTTTCCTAGTGTATTTTTTTTTTTTTTTGGCAGGCATGAAAGTTTATTAAAAAGCTTTAAAACAATAAGGATATTAGCTGGGCTTGGTGGTGTGTGCCTGTAATCCCAGCTGCTCCAGAGGCTGAGACAAGAAAAACCGCTTGAACCCAGGAGGCAGAGAGGCTGCAGTGAGCCGAGATTGTGCCACTGCACTCCAGCCTGGGCAACAGAGCAAGACTCTATCTCAAAAGCAAACAAAAGAACGCCCCCAAAACCCCCAAATAAACAAGCAAAAGTGTTAGAACAGTAAGGAAAGGACAGAAAGAAAGTACAACTTGGAAGAGAGTCAAGTGGACAACCTGAGAAACTAAGTGCACAGCTTGACCTCTTGACTTGGAATTTTGTATGGTGACATACTTCCAGGATCTTGCATCACTTCTCCTCGCTCCTGAGATCTTACTGAGAAGCTGTTGATCAGTTTTAGATGTTTTCTATCTATTAGAACATTGCCTTTCCCTGGCACTGGCTATGACCAGTTATTGCTTTAGAGAAACAGTTAACAACCGCCTAACCATCACCCGATGGTTGCCCAACACGCTTGGTGTATGTCTAAGCGGGGAGCCCTCTCCTGCTCTGCTCATACCTGATTAGCTATCTACTGCTGTAACCTTTCCCTCCTCAAGAGTCCATGACCCCAAAACTTTGGGGGAAAATGGACGAATCCGTAACTGCTTCCTGCTGACAGAGGGTTGGTGGTAGTTCTGTGGGTCTTGACCTCTTACAGGCTGTCAGGGCTGAGCTGGCTCCATGAGTTGGTGAAAGCAATATCGAGCCAGGTGCAAGGGAGAGGGGCAGGAATTCACCTCTATTGCGTCCCACTGATGGGCAGTCTAGAAGTTCCCTGAGGATAGGGGACTCTTGACTATTGGGAGGACAGTATTCCTCACTGAGAATCATCTGGATCTAAATGGCCACTAGGGAATGTATCTTGAGTCATGGCACCCAATATATTACCTGTGGCAGGTATACAGGTTATCCTGTTACTGGTGGTGTATCCTCATGGGTCTGTGGCGACTTCAGTCCTTGCCTCCTGAGAAGAAAGAATTCTCCTGAGGGGCATAAGGCAGCAAAAGAGACTGCGGCAGGTTTTAGAACAGGAGTGGAAGTTTATTAAACAGCTTTAGAACAGAAAGGAAGGAAAGAAAGAAGGAAAGTGCTTAAAATAGGGCCAAGTGGATCACTGGAGGAACTGTGTGCCCCTAGTTGGATGTTGTCTGATATACTCTTGAGTCTTTACTTCCTCTAAGACTTTTTGTTTGTTTTTGATATTTTCTAATGTGGTAAAATAGACATAGTATAACATTTGCCATCTTAACCATTTTTTTTTTTTTTTTTTTTTTTGAGACGGAGTTTCGCTCTTGTTACCCAGGCTGGAGTGCAATGGCACGATCTCGGTTCAGCACAACCTCCGCCTCCTGGGTTCAGGCAATTCTCCTGTCTCAGCCTCCTGAGTAGCTGGGATTACAGGCACGCGCCACCATGCCCAGCTAATTTTTTGTATATTTAGTAGAGACGGGGTTTCACCGTATTGACCAGGATGGTCTCGATCTCTTGACCTCGTGATCCACCCGCCTCGGCCTCCCAAAGTGCTGGCGTGAGCCACCACGCCCAGCCCCATCTTAACCATTTTTAAGTGCATAGTTCTGTGGCAATAAATGCATTAATAAGGCTGTGCAGCCATCACCACCATCCATCTCTGTAACTTTTTTTCATCTTGTAAAACAAACTCTATACCTGTCAAATAATAATTTTACATTCCCACTTCTCTCTAGCCCCTGACAACTGCTATTCTACTTTGTCTCCATGATTTTGGCTACTCTTAGCACCTCATATAAGTGGAATCATATGGTATTTGGCTTTTTGTAACTGGCATATTTCACTTAGCATGATGTCCCCAAGGTTCATCTGTGTTGTAGCATAGGTCAGAATTTCCTTCCTTTTAACAACTGAATGAGGCAGGACATGGTGGCTCACACCAGTAATCCCAGCACTTTGGGAGGTCAAGGGCAGAGGATTGCTTGAGTTCAGGAGTTCAAGACCAGCCTGGGTAACATAGTGTGACCCAGTCTCCACAAAAAATTAAAAAATTAACTAGGCTTGGTGGTGTGTGCCTGTAGTTCCAGCTACTTGGGAGGCTGAGGTGGCAGGATTGCTTGAGCCTGGGAGGTCTAGGCTGCAGTGAACTGAGATCGTGGCACTGCACTCCAGCCTGGGTGATGGAGTGCAACCCTGTCAATAAATAAATAAAGACAGTTAAATAAGTATATAAATAAAAACAATTATTTATAAAAGGCTGGGCAGGCTGGGCACTGTGGCTGATGCCTGTAATCTCAGCACTTTGGGAGGCTGAGGTGGGAGGATGACATGAGGTCAGGAGTTCGAGACTGTCCTGGCCAACATGGTGACACCTATTCTCTACTAAAAATACAAAATTAGCTGGGCGTAGTGACGCACTCCTGCAGTCCCAGTTACTCAGAAAACTGAGGCAGGAGAATCACTTGAACCCAGGAGGCAGAGGTTGCAGTGAGCTGAGATCTCGCCATTGCACTCCAGTCTGGGTGACAGAGCAAGACTACATTTATTTTATTTTTATTTTTATTTTTTTTTTGAGACAGAGTTTCGCTGTTGTTACCCAGGCTGGAGTGCAATGGCGTGATCTCGGCTCACCGCAACCTCCGCCTCCTGGGCTCAAGCCATTCTCCTGCCTCAGCCTCCCGAGTAGCTGGGATTACAGGCACGCGCCAGCATGCCCAGCTAATTTTTGTATTTTTGGTAGAGACAGGGTTTCACCATGTTGACCAGGACGGTCTTGATCTCTTGACCTCGTGATCCACCCGTCTCGGCCTCCCAAAGTGCTGGGATTATAGGCGTGAGCCACCACGCCCGGCCCAAGACTACATTTAAAAAAAAAAAAAAAAAAAAAAAAAAATAACGGAGTCTCATTCTGTCACCCAGGCTGGAGTGCAGCGGCACAGTCTCGGCTCACTACAACCTCTGCCTCCTGGGTTCAAGC